CAAACACAATGAGATCTATTGGATGGGAATCGAAATATATTTTAAATTCCGCTGTGCATGTATAAGTAGATTCCCAACAAAATCAAGGTTGAGGATCCTTTGATTGGAACTACTCACTGTTCCAGCATTGCTAAACATGATGTCAAGTTGGCCGTATTTTTGGACGACCCAATCCGCCATGGCCTGGACTTGTTCTTCGTTGCTAATGTCACAGTGCACATAGCTGCACTGGTCTAGACCAATGGATTCGGCCACAGTTTGGCCTGTCTCATCTTGGATATCAGCAATAACCACCGCCCGTGCTCCATGTTCAACGAATAGACGCGCAGTTGCCTCCCCGATGCCGCTGGCACCACCGGTGACTATCGCAATTTTATCTTGTAGCTTTCTTGAGATAGAAATTGATTCACAGTCTGTCATTTTGTACGCAAAATTGAAGATGGCGAACTAGATGACTTGCTCTATTCTATTCACTTCCTTTAAAATTTATAGAACTGTTATTCTATCTATGCATATATTCTCTAGATATTTATAGGCTTTTCCCATGAAATTTTTATGGGATGTTGACCTTTTTTTTGGAGTGGGGTGGGAGTGGATGAGGGCCGTTGAGGGAGGGATTTTTATAGAGTTGATATCTGTCATGCCTGTTTGACTACGATTGTGTCACAACATACATATTCATTTACCAACAGATAATGTGATGAAATTTGATTTGATCCAAATCATATAAACCGAATTAAAAAAAAAAAAAAAAAAACATAAAAAACGAAAAAAAAAAAAAAAAAAAAAAAACTCCCACTTTTTCTTTTTTACCTCATCAATCTGTAAAATATAATATAAATGGTGATCTACAACAATCATTTTCCGTTTAACTATCCCTTGACTTGGTTTGACAATAAAGTGCATATAGGTTTTTAGTTAGTTGGGAAGGAGCAGGAGAAGTGTGACTGGGCTCATGTCAGGTTCACGGGCTTCTACAGTTCTTTAACGTGAATTTATGTAAGTTTTTATATTGTTTCAAATATGAGTTCGTGAGGATGAAGTGATCTAAAGACGATCCCATCATGGCTCTAATATAAAGGTAACACTGTATATTACTGAACGGCTAAATCTTAACTAAACCTTTTACATGTCCATCTCATCTTGACACCTTTATAAAACGGCACTCAATTTCACTTTGAAAGGATAATTCAAGTGCTACCTCTCATATTGAGTCATAATTAGTTAATAGCAGCTGAACTTCCTTTCATTTCTAGCAGTGGTCACTCCATTAGATGATCTCTTATTGGACCATGTTCACTGCATATACACATAACATTGCACCCAACTTGTTTGGTTAGTATCATTAATATTTATCAAGAACTATATTAGGTTCAATATCGATCACTAGCCATCTCACACGGTCTCAATAGCAAGGATCTTGAGAGAAAGTAGGATAAGCATAACCTTTAAGTTTCTCTCTCTCTCTCTCTCTATTTTTTTTTTCCTGTTTAGTGTCCATTGTAACTAATTAATTAGTATTTCTTTTGATGACTAATTCATTAAGCAGATCTCTGATCCAAAATTATTTTATGATAACTATATAAATTAACAGTCTAGCATGTAGAAAGAAAGCTCATGTCATTAGGCACACCTAGGTGTAGGTTTACTACCAATGAAACAAAGTACACATCGCACTGGAAAGTAAATAAGTTTACTTTTCTCTTTAATAATTTAAATTTTTAAATAAAATAGTTCAATATTGTATCAGATGGAATAAAGGTCATCGATTCATGTTTCAGTCCCTTTGCAAAATTCGTACATTTGCAATCGATCGGAAAAAGAAAAAGAAAAGTTCACATGTCAAAATAATCTAGACCAAAGCTAATATTGAACTAAATTCGTGAAAGCAATAATTGTAGGTAATCCAACTCTACAATGAATACAATTTGAACATAAATTTGCAAGAGAAGTAGTGGACTAATTTATTGAGTGGGTGCTTTAGAAATTTATAATTGGGTTAGTGACCACTAGGCTTAATTAGTATAAATCAAATCCCTCGCCTACTTTTAGAGAAAAAACTTTTGAGTGAGAATTGTTGAAATGGTTGATGACACTTTATTACTTCAATAACGATGGACATTGAAGTATTTGAATAATTTTGCTGGAGTCTAGATCGATTGATGATTCAGAAAATATGAAGCATTTTACAATATTAAAATTTACCGAGAATTTAAGGTTTTTAAAACCAAGAAAAAAGTGGGTAAGAACTATAAAATTCCTCTATTTTAAAATGCAATTTCTACATGACCAAAAAAATGGCTCTTGTTGGAAAGAAAGGCAGGTTACAGAAAGGTGAATTTTTCAGGAAGAAATTAAAGCAGACTGGGATACTTGTATGCATCCATGAAATATGTTTCGACTCATTTCATTAGATGATTTTTTTAGAATAAAAAATATTTAAAGAAAATAAATTATTTCACAAAGTGTACAAATTTTTATATAAGATAATTCAATATTTATAGTATATAGACAAACGTCATATTGTGAGTCAACGAGTCTTTAATGTCTAGGTTTTTGGCATTCATGAGTGAATCAACATGAACTAAATGTTTTTCATGATTTTCGTGTTTTCATTCTTTACAGATTCGTTCCTATGAGCATGATGCAAAGGTGATGTTAGAATCATGAAGTACAATTAGAGGATGCCTATGCTTGTAATTACATGATGCATATCAAAAACAATAATTGTTGACCCATCAAAGAGGATTTCAAATTCCCTTAAAATTTGAGGGCAAATTTTTCTACACATGGATAATAATGCAACCCACATATGAAAATTATGAACATTATTATAAATTTAAGAGTATTATTTTATGGTGATTTTTAGATTTTATCATTTGATTTTGCCATTAGTTCAAACTCTCGATATTCTACAGAATCAACGAATCTTTGATACCTAATTTTTTGAATTCACGAGTGAATTAGCATGAACTAGAAGGTTTTTTTTTTTTTTTTTAATGTTCTCATGTTCTTGAACAGGCGATTCTCCATCAATACATAATTCTAATGTATTATTTGATACTTATCTAATACTTTGCTACGTCATGCAACCACAAGTACTCATTAACTACCACACATTTATTGTATTTATAAATTAAATCATTTATTAAAATTTCACAAACAAGCTTTTAAACGTTCATGATGACATGATTATAATAAGTGGAATAGAAACAAGTACCTAAAATACTTTTAGGTCCGGCGGTTTTAAATGAAGTATTTTTTAAAAATTAGAAAAAATAATATAAAATGTCATTTTAGTAATAGTGCATTCTAATAAAGATGATAATGTTTTAGAGAATTAGGTTCGATTGTTAGCAATGGTACTTGAAGCTGATTTGATACATAGAATATAAGTGTACTTTGTGGATTAAAAGGTACCTACAGGATTAAAAGGTCAGCTCTCCAGTGCATTGTTAGATTGGTTTGTGGGTTTTGCCGCACACAATACCAGTTTAAAAAACCCTTTTTTTTTTGGTATTTTTTTTTTTTTTTTTTTTTTTTTTAAGACATACACTTAATGAAATTTCATTTGTTTTAATTCTTTTCATTTGGCCATTGTCAAGGAAACAAATGTCTCCTTGGACATGTACAGGGGATAATCTCCTGTACATGTAGCATAACTGTGTTTATTATCAACCCCTATTTGATGTCTACTAAAAGAGCTTTATTATTATTATTATTATTATTATTATTATTATTATTATATTTTGAGAAAATGAGTTTTGAAATTATGATTTTTTGGAGAATGTTTGGCACAAAATAGGAAAAAATTTTAAATTTCTGTACTAAATATTTTGTTGAGAGAATGTGTGATTAAAAACGAATTTTGAAAAATGGGAGACAGATAGAACCTTAAAAGGGATTGAGCTTTTATGCGTTTATAGGATGAACTGAAATGATATAAATATGTCGCCCATGTTAGAATAGATTGAATAAAGATGAGGCATATAAGTCATCTAGTATATGTGATTTATATTGAAAATAATTAAATGAAAGACTTAAAATACTCTTAAACAAGAACCATTTATAAGAATTACAAGTGTTGGATTTTGATACCCAATAACTCCCCGGGCTATGATGTAAAACCGGTTTTTTGTTATCAGTCGGTTTGGACCAAATGGCTGAACGAAATGTCAACGCTACTATTAGAACGACCTAACCCCAAATTGTATGGACCACTAGAGTGACCTAATTTAATAGTGTCGTTCGTCGCCTGTTTCACCTTTACTTGGAGGGCTTCATGTTGTTACCCATTTTGGAGCCCATTGACTTGAGTTTTGGGCCTTTGGGTCGTGACTTTAACCTATACCTAACTTACCATATTTGGACTCCTTACTTGGGCTATATACTTGCTTTTTATTCACTACCTCCAAAAAGGAGACCCGTGTGAAAATTGTAGTCTTCTTCCTGTTTTCTCTTCTGTCCATTTCGGTTGTTCTTCACCTGTGATTACTTTGGGATCATTTCCTGTGTGGAATAGTACATCTTGGTTAGCTCTTTGTGGGCAAGTAAAGCAACCGTGAAGGGAAAAAACCGTTTTCGTTGATTGGGTTTGAGTTCGATAGTGGTGTTGACATTGGTGAAATTGAGCCCGAAAAATCCACCAATTGGAGGTTGATTATTCAACATTTGGTATTAGAACGAGGTTGGGGTGGAATTTTCGGCCAAAATTTGACCAGAAACCGACCAGAAAATCGGCAGAAAACAAAAAAAAATCGGACTGCCCAGTTTTCACCAAAAATCGCACCTGCAAACGCAATTTTCCGGCGATCCAGGCATCTTTTGGTGAAACGGAGACCAGGGTTGAAACGTGCAGGTGGAGGCGGTGTTGGGTGTGTGGCGCGTGATTCCGGCAGCGGCGCGTAGCTTCTCCGACGGTGGCGCGTGTGAGCGCGAGGGGCCGATTCAGGGGAAGCTTTCTTCAGGCAGTTTGTTCTTCACATTATTTCTAATCTTTTTCGTGTTGGAAGTTTTCTATTTCAGGTTACACAGAAAAAGTTGAACGATTTTGCCCTTGGAAATCGAATTGCATTTCTTGGCGGGCTGGACGGTTATATTTGCTGAATCTTTAGGACGAATAGTGGTGGTCCTAAAGCAGTAGATTCGCATCTCTCTTGATTATACAGACTCAGACACGTCCGCTCTAGTAAATTGGCTTAACCCGTTTATTTCAGCATTAGCGCGTCACCGTGTGGGGTGACAATAGGTTGGGAGTTTCATTGCTTGGCAGCCATTGCTTGTGCTAGAAATTAGGATTACTTGCTCTTAATTGTTGCGATTGAGTACTTATTTTTGGATAAATTAGCGTATTGTGCTTTGTGTTAAAATTGTCGTGAAATTTCGTTTGATTGGATATATCTATTTTGTTACATCGTAAA